CGCGTCCTCATTCAAATTGTTTTATCATCGTCTATAGAAATTTGAAATCTAACGAAGCCTGCTCTCTCCCAGCTTAGAAGCCTTGAAAAGCACGTAATCTCTAACATGTGTCGTTTTCGGACAGCGTTTCAGTATCAACCCGAACTCATATTTTACGACCGTGGCTGTCGACTACGTTTTCCTGTTGGCACTACATCTAAATTAATGTTTACGGGAAGCGCGCAAACGTGTGCTATTGAATAAACAGCAAACGACATCTTTCATAAATGTTCCGAAACTGCAAAGCAATGACAACTTCTCGAGTGGATGGAACAATCGTCGTTCACCACTCTCGATTTCGCACCACACTCCTTACCCCTTGGAAAGAAAAAGATAGGTGGAACTGTCCGAACGTCAATGCCGCTCAGCGTCCCATCTCAATCTAGCGCCGCGACAAAGGAAGGGAACAACTCGCGGAATCGAGTGACGTCGATTAGAGAGCGATAAACTCGTCAGCGGGCAAGCTGGCAAAACAAAAAATCGTGCGTTTAAAGCGCGCATTGTCTCCCGAAAAGACTCGTGTGACAGAGACGTCAGGTTTAGCTATTTCGAGTAACGCGCACAAACGTATCGCCAGCAGAATCGCAGCCCTTTCCGCCAGATAATCTCTCTTGCACTGCGCGCCGGCAAACCCCTGATAATATAGATAGCATTCAGCGTCGCGCACACACGACGAATTCAATAAAGCGAACTGCTACGTCTGCATGCGTGTGCTGAATGAGGGCATTGTCGGCCGCGACATTCATGCGGGAGTGAGCGAGCTTTGTTTTTTTCTTCTTTTTTTATTTTTTTTTTTTTTTTTTATTTTGCCCCTCTCTCGCCGAGTGGATCTGAAAAATGTGGGCGTTCGCTGCTTCTTTTTTGGCGAGCGACGGCTTTGGATCCTCTTGTGTGTGCGCGCCGCTGCTTTTTTGGCGGCTCGCGGATGTGGAAATGCTTCTGATAAAGGGGATGCGATTGAGCTTTTTTTGCGCTTCGTTGATGGATTTAATTCGACTTTGCTTCTTTCATGTGAACGGCACGTGGACCTTTGAATAATTGCTTAAATGAGCGTTTGGTATCATTTAAAATCAAATAGCTTAATAATATTTACACAACAGCAATGTTAATAAAAGTCGATTTTTGGTGGTGAACGAATCTTCAGTTAAAAGATACGACTGACCTTCTTGTTATATTTAATTTTTCATTGAATTTTTAACAAAGTATTAGTTATTCAATGTATCTTGCTTTACTCAACGGACTCTTCGTAATAAGAAATAGAGTGAATGAATTAGATTGACGAAGCAACTGAATGAAAAAGTGCAACTTGAAAAAGATGAAGCTGGATAGAAATAAAAAATCTGGCTCGCTAATGCTGCGATGAATCCAATTGAAATACTTGATATTTTGCGTTTAAATCTACCGATGGCGCTCTGAATACTCCATTGATTTGGCATTTAATGTCATTCATAAGGCCGCGAAAAATCGATCACTCGAGAATATCTTTATGAAAATCGTGACAAGCCATAATACAAAGTTCCAACGGAGTTTTGCAATCTGCGCATGAAATCAAAGATTCAGAAAAGACCAAACAAAAGAAAATCGAAGGCAAGATCTGCGGAAAAAGCTGCACGGCGCGCCTCAAATGAGTCTTAATGCCCACTAATGGCCGAATAGTCGTTGGCCCCCTCGGCAAAACAATGAGTATAGCCTCGCGTAAGAGCTCGCATTTTACTTATCTGCAGTTGCACAATCTTCTAAGCTCGGCGAGCTCGTAATCTTCTGGGCTGGCGGCCTCCGAGAAATCCGGCGGTGGCCGTGGGCCCATTACCCAAAAGTAGAGCGCTGAGGATTAGCCGCGACGCGCGGCCAGGAGCCACCTGACGCGGATTTAAACTCCTGACTCGCAGGTTTCTCGCCGGCGCTAATTGCGCGCGCGCGATCCTCGTGGCCTCGCCCTCGGTCGTCCCCCGAGATGCATTCCTCCGGGCACGAGACGGACGCCGTTCCGCGAACCGGCGCGCGACGGAGGCGCCGCGCCCGAACGGCCCCGATCAAAGCCACGGGCCGAGCGTCTGGCGCCGATGGGGCCGCGCTCTTCCGCGAACGCGCGACGTCGGCGCGAGGCGCGCGTCCGAGAAGTCTGCGAGCAATAAAGCGAGACGGCGCATTGCCGAGCGCCCGATCAGCGCGGCAGCAGCAGCAGCAGCAGCGGCGGCGACGGCAGCAACCGCCATGCAGATGATGAGATGTTTATCGGGGAGGCGCAAGCGGAGCAGCGACGTAATCGCCAGCGCGGATCTTTTCCTTGCGTTCGGCGGGCATGGCGGCACAATGGGCGGCCGCCGCCTCGCGCCTCACAATGCAGGCGACAGCTGGACGGACACGGATATTATTGCCTCGGGAAAATGGAGACATTAATCCCCGCGTGTGCGTTTTGACAAATTTATCTGTGTAACCGCGGAGCCCATTGAATGGCGCAAAGGCGCGAGCGGCAGTGAAGTGTGTGGGCACCGATAGCCATCGATTTTGCGTAATCCGTGTGTTATGGCTCGCGCGATTGTGCGATGACGCTGTAGCTGTAGATCGGCCCGAGATGCCGCCGTTGCAGTTGTCAAATTTGCGGGCGCGAAATCTTTTTCTCGTTTTCCTCGGCAGCCCGTTTTGGCAAGTGCGATCACCGCGGTTGTCCCGTTGATTGCATTCGCGATAGGATCAGCTTGCGTTTCGATCCCGTTGCTGCGCGAATCGCATTTGAAATAACTGAAAGCTCCCGGCCTTGAGCATTTGGAGTTGTCTCTTGGTGGAAGACTTTGCTTGTTGAAGATAAATACGCCTGGCACCTCGAATGACGACATCATTGCACCGATTCTCGTGCATACACAAAATTAAATTTTTCGAGCCGAGCGTCGGAAGATGTAATCGGCTGCCGCCGAATTCGTCCGCGAATTGGACATGCCATCTACAGCGAGGCTGGGCAACCGAGCAGAACCGTGGGCGGAATCGAAAGAAATTATTTAGCAGCGTTATCGAACGCACCACCTGAGCCACTTTGTTTTCTCGACTGGAGAACCACGGCCGCGAACACGCGCGCCATGTTGCTTCGTGGCATTTCAACTGCTACTATAATTACGAAGGCTAACAATGCGTGATTATAGACTTTCTTGCAGCCACAACGGATGCGAAAGTCGTTTGAATCACAATGATGCAGCAACAGCGGATTTTCCCCATTAATTTTTCATCCGAAGCCGAACGCCCAATTGAAAAAAACAAGTCTCCGCGGCGGCACACAAAACTCGCTCGCTTGGTAGCCGCAGCAGCGGGCTGCGACAACGTGTGTACACATAACTTTTGTCCCGGACGAACAATATCGTCCCTCTGAATAATTCAGCCACTCGAGCCAGTAAATCGTGGAGCAGCGATACTATCGGGCGCTCGCAGCGCGCGCAGCCCCGAGTTTTTGTGATTTCCTCGGAAACGGCCCTTTTCAGACGCCACGTGAAGGTCTTCATTTTCGAAGGCGCGCGCGCGCGTCGACCGATCGTCCACGGATACGCGGCCTTTGTTGGAAAACAAATTTCTCGCGGGGGCCTTTTCGCGCCCTCGCCACCAATTGTCGCTCTCCGGTTTCTCGCTTGCGGCGCGCTTACACGCGACAACAACGAGCGCGCCGCCGGGGCAGGGGGGCACTCGTAATATCGCCGACTGCGATCGATGCCCACAAAAATGGTCAAGTATGCGCGCTGTGCCGGCCAAACGTATCGGCCATCGATCTTAACCGACGATTTTCACGCTACTGTTATTGTCGCTGGCCGGTGCTTTGCCCACGCGCTTGTTTCGCCTTTTTACGGCCGCGGAATTGTTTTGCCAGGTCGTTTTCGCTGCCTGTCAGCGCGCGCGTGACACACGCACACCACGCCGACTTTGATTTACTGCCGTTCGAACCGGGCGCGCGCGCGTGTTTTTCGTTTTTCTGAATATTCATTCGAGTATAAATAAAAAAATAAACGAGGGAGACGCTTGGTTTTTCAACGGGGTTTTCGTTGCGCGCGAATGCTCGTCGTTGTCGGAGAGAGCGATGGAGGAGTAACGAGCGAATGGAGTTGTAAATTGTCGCGGAATATTTCGAACGGGAATGGAGAAAAATGTACAGCGTGTCTTTACACGTACAAAATGACTGTAAAGTGCTTATTAGATCAGAGTAACTCGCTGATCTTTAACTAAACTCGTGCACCACTAATAATTAACCGGTTAAGAGAAGATTACCCAACGCTTGTAATTTTGACATTATCGAAAAATCTACTGTACACACGTGTCTCCGCCCACGCGAGCGAAAGCAAAGTTGGAACGGCAAAAAAAGCAATTCACCAGAATGCCGATATGCCGAGAGAAATATTAATTAGCGTCTGGAAGCGAAATATCCAGCGCAGGTAACGGGCGAGAAGGAAAACAGGCAACGCGCCTGGCCTTTCCCATATCGCGCAATTAAAAAATTCCCAGACGCGTTGCGCGCGCGCGCATTAATTACGGCGCAGGCTCATAAAATTGTAATCGCGCTCGCGTGATGTTCTACGGATTTTCCAGTCTTGCGCCACCGTGGCGCGCGAGAAAAAGAATAACGTTTCTTAAAGGGCTTCGCCCCCTCCCTCCCCGCGCCTAAGGCCCACCCGCACTTCGGCTTGCATCATTTAACCGCTCGTTTGTCTCTGGGGAGCTGATGGCCAGGCGATAAGTCATTCGTGAGCTTTGAATATCAATGTGCATGCATTGTCGTTGCGGGAAACGAAAGGAGGAAAAAAATGAGAGCTCTTGACTGATTTAGTTTGTTTGTTTGGATAATGGGGGCCGTCTTCTTCGACTTGGGCGAGAGTGATTGATCGAGATGAATTTGGTTTGGTAAGTAGTCTTTTTTTCATGGAAACTCCGGTGTATAATGAGAGTTTTCATCTGCATTCCCAATTGTTTTTGTTAGAGGCTATGCGTACGACGAAATATCTGATGGTGTTTGCTGGAATGCTTTGCTTCAAGTAAATGCGCTCTTGAAGCAGTAATTTATTGCATGGTACTTGACAATCTCGTGGATTCCGTAGTTTACGAATTTAATACCTTTTCCGAACAGATTTATATAGTCAAACATCAACCTAATTTTATATGTTTTATTTTTTTCAATCTTGAAGGCTAGAAACAAAAAGTTTCTTACGATACTTAAAAGAACTCTCATGAGGTTATTTTGACATCCTTGATGAAATTTCTATAATGATACAGATGGATGTGCAAATTCATTTGATATATAAGTTGATATCGCAGAGGGAATCCGATGAGATTCGGACAAACTCCTATGTTCAAGCCCACCAATTGTTTCCGTTTATTGAGAATCGGAGCACCGCTGTCACCCTGAACAAAAACTTACTATTAGATTGCCTATCGAACTATCTACATGCCATTGAACGCTGTAAAAGCAGTCTCTTACGTAGCTTGATAAGACACCTGGCTTTGCAGAACTGCAGAAATAATTTTCCATTATAAGTAAATCGTTGCGTGACAAATCGCTGGCCCTCTTACGACATTCCTCTTCGCATAGAACCGTTGTAAGTGCCGTTTTCAAAACTAATGGGCACTTGCCATCTATAGAAACGCCCCAACCCGCAATTCTAACGATTGATCTGATCAAATCTGTCGGCGCGAATGTCAATATCGTCGCTGGATGAATTTCTGGACGGACTCCTTTGCCTTCTAGCTAAAAATGTATAATATCGATTTCAAAATAATTGCTAAAATCATTCGTATTTTCGTTAATCGCCAAAGGCTCCTTGCTACCGTTAAAACAATTATGTCATGATGCAAAAATTCCATGTATCCTTTCTTATTTTTTTTCCATTCTTTGTACGTTATCCAGGATTCGGGGTAGTACTTGTCACCAAGACTCACGTCTTCCGAGCCAGCAATAATTTCGATGTCACTTAGCGCAAGCCCGCCGAAGCAATGTTCAACAGTCAGAATACTTCTCCTGCTTATGAGCGTTCCAGTGCAAAAGTGACGATTCACGAAATGGGTATCATTGCTTTGGGCTCTTCTTGCGATCGACACGACAAACGGAAGCTCATTTGGTCGAGCATCTCTCACCTTAGTCCCTATTAATGGGATTTCGTGTGACAAGCCGATTAACATGCCTAAATTTATTAACAAACAACGTACTACATGGTAAATTTAGATAAATTAATTAATTCTAACTTAATACAAATTATATTAATTCTATACCATATGTTAAATATCGAAAAAGAACAAGCATCTTCTGTGGCATCCTACTATTAAAAGAGATACAAGTTAACTGTTCAAGAGTCACGACGTAACTAATGTTAAATGTGAAACAAAATGATCGATTCTTCACGACAATTCGTCACGATCGCGTAACATACCGCTATAATTACTGCAATGACATTCGTTAAGTTCGTCAAAGTCCAGGAAAATATAATCGATCGCTCATCGTATATTATTTTATCGACTAGTCGTATATTATTAGTAAATCAAGACTTAATTATACACAATTTTCCAAATTTATAAAAAAAGAATAAGGTTCCTGAAAATATTTCATGCGTACAAATAAAAAATTAAGTATTCAAAATATTTCTGAGGAGCATATTTTGAATTACTTTATGAATCTTCTGTTACGATACAAATATAAGTGTGTAATCAGTTGATTCTCATTTCTGAATTCCTGAGGATCCTCCTCGTGGTTTGAATGGATATTTGCCCTTACTTAATATCAACCTGTTTATTTATTTTACAGAACATTACAGTGCCAACGTAATGTTTGTAAAAATGTAATGAGAAGATTTCTTAAATACATGGAATCGTCGGAGTACTGGTGGACAGCTGGTATAATAAAATTCCCACCTATCGTCTTGGTAGTTCCTGTGTTACATTCTTCATTTGAGATTACTACGAGTACTGCCTTTTCCAACTCTCTCAATCTTCACGTTTTCTATCATTGTATTTCAATTTTCAGAAGCACTATTAATATACTAACCAAACGCTATATAAACCATTTTCATTGTGCTAAACGATAATTTATTTCACTACCTATATATTGGTATTTTTTGATTCGTTCATAGCTTCTTCTGTTTCCAGCCATGTTTCTTGTTTACTACTACTGCGTTGATCGTGCATGATATTTTTCTTCAGGAAGTGCCTATAGGATTTTCCAAACAGCAGATAGATTGTAATGGTCATAAAATAGTACCTTGCGATACATTACAAATTATATATTCTTTGTTACCGGAGCATATATTAATTTTTACCATCTATTAGATATTAGTTACATAACTTTTCAACAATTGACATGGTAGTCCTGGGATTCTATAACATTCTAGTTTCCTTAATACGTTATAATTAATTGTATTAAACGCTTTGGCCTAATCAAGGAAAGATGCTGTAATTTTCTGGATATTATATATTCCATTTACCATTAAATGTTTGACGTGAGTCAATGCGTCTTCTGTGCCTATGTTATTTCTAAATTCAAGTTAGAATATATTTTATTTTATTTAGATTTGTTTAATCTGATATGAATTCTTTTTTCGAAAATGTTTTGCAATATTTGATACTATTAATACATGTCTATAATTAATTGAAATGTTGTTCACATCTCCCGCTTCATGTTCGATATTTTTAATAATTTATTATGTTTCACCACTGTCTGTATAATTTAAATAGAAAATGTTCTGTGTTTTTTGAAAGTGGAAATTTAAATTATGATTCAAAAATACCGGTTTTTTTGCTGCAAGTTTGTTCTCGACGGTACTAAAATATTTATTGAAGATATAAGCCATCTTCTTCTTATTGGTAATTACTTTATCGCCAATTTTTATTGATTCTATACCAGTTATGTGTTCTTTTGACCGGATTAGTTCATTACTTATAAAATTCTAATGACTTACTATCATTTCCTGTTCTATCAAAGATTTATTGTTGTTCTAATAATTTCGTTTATTTTCATTATAACGTTTAATCTTTCTTCGTACATTTTTATTATTGTTAATAATTCAGATTATGCGGTTCATATTTTCAGATTTCATGTAGCATGTGTTTGTTACAAGATACCATGATTCCTAAATTTATCTCTTTTTTTCTCGGGTGCTTAAGTTTTGGATTGTTAATTTATTTGTTAACATATTGAATTTTATTTTAAAAAGAATGTGGTTTGGTAAATCGTCTTATATTTATGGAAACTGTTCAGTACTATGAGAGTTTTCATTTGCGCTTTTAAACTATTTTGTTGAAGGCTATTTGTACGACAAAATATCTGTTATTGGGTAGAACGTATTCGTTCGAGTAAATTTGTGAATGCACTCTAGAAGTAGTAATTGATTGCATTGTACGTGCATTGATCACGAAAACCGCAATTTATAAATTTAATATGCTTTCAGAATAGATTTCTTGTAAAACAACCACCCAAATTTATTTATTTTCAATCTTGAAAACTATAAACAAAGTGTCATATGGTACTTAAAAACGTCTCTCATGAGGTTGTTATGACATCCCGGATGAAATTTCTATAATAATACAGATGGAGATGTACATTAATTTGATGCAGACGTTGATACCATACAGGGTAACCCAAGAGAGCCGGACAGCTTCCTATGTTTATGCCTACTAGTTGATTCCGTTTATTGAGAATCGGAGCTCCACTGTCACCCTGAACAAAAAATTATTATAAATTACCTATCGTACTACGTAGTTCACTGAATGTTGGGAAAGCAGTCTGTTACACAGCTTGATAGGACGGATGGTGTTGCGAAACTGCAGAAATAATTTTCCGATGGAGTTATATTTTTGCGTACCAAAACACTGGCTCTCTTACCACATTCTTCGTTATTTAGAACTGTCAACACTGCCGTTCTCAAAACGAATGGTGACACGTCCTCTGGAGAATAGCCCCAACCGGCAATTCTAACGGTTGAACCGTACAAATCTGTTGGTGCGAATGTCAATATCTTAGCTAAATGACTTTCGTGACAATCGACTCCCTTGCCTGCTAGCTAAAAAATTATAACATTAATTTTCCCACAATTGTTAAAACCACTTGTATTTTCATTAATCGCCAAAGACTCCTTGCTACCGTCAAAACCATGATATCATTTTCTAACAGGTCTTTCAGTCCTGACTTTTTTTTTTTCCAGTTGTCATACGTTATCCCAGATTCCAGGGAGTACTTGTCACCAAGTCTGACGTCCGTCGAGCCAGCAATAACTTCGGTGTTATTCAGCAATATTTTTGCGAAGCAATGTGCAGCAGTCAAAACATTTCTCCTGCTTATGAGCGTTCCAGTGCAAAAGTGACGATTCACGAAATGGGTATCATTGCTTTGGGCTCTTCTTGCGATCGACACGACAAACGGAAGCTCATTTGGTCGAGCATCTCTCACCTTAGTCCCTATTAATGGGATTTCGTGTGACAAGCCGATTAACATGCCTAAATTTATTAACAAACAACGTACTACATGGTAAATTTAGATAAATTAATTAATTCTAACTTAATACAAATTATATTAATTCTATACCATATGTTAAATATCGAAAAAGAACAAGCATCTTCTGTGGCATCCTACTATTAAAAGAGATACAAGTTAACTGTTCAAGAGTCACGACGTAACTAATGTTAAATGTGAAACAAAATGATCGATTCTTCACGACAATTCGTCACGATCGCGTAACATACCGCTATAATTACTGCAATGACATTCGTTAAGTTCGTCAAAGTCCAGGAAAATATAATCGATCGCTCATCGTATATTATTTTATCGACTAGTCGTATATTATTAGTAAATCAAGACTTAATTATACACAATTTTCCAAATTTATAAAAAAAGAATAAGGTTCCTGAAAATATTTCATGCGTACAAATAAAAAATTAAGTATTCAAAATATTTCTGAGGAGCATATTTTGAATTACTTTATGAATCTTCTGTTACGATACAAATATAAGTGTGTAATCAGTTGATTCTCATTTCTGAATTCCTGAGGATCCTCCTCGTGGTTTGAATGGATATTTGCCCTTACTTAATATCAACCTGTTTATTTATTTTACAGAACATTACAGTGCCAACGTAATGTTTGTAAAAATGTAATGAGAAGATTTCTTAAATACATGGAATCGTCGGAGTACTGGTGGACAGCTGGTATAATAAAATTCCCACCTATCGTCTTGGTAGTTCCTGTGTTACATTCTTCATTTGAGATTACTACGAGTACTGCCTTTTCCAACTCTCTCAATCTTCACGTTTTCTATCATTGTATTTCAATTTTCAGAAGCACTATTAATATACTAACCAAACGCTATATAAACCATTTTCATTGTGCTAAACGATAATTTATTTCACTACCTATATATTGGTATTTTTTGATTCGTTCATAGCTTCTTCTGTTTCCAGCCATGTTTCTTGTTTACTACTACTGCGTTGATCGTGCATGATATTTTTCTTCAGGAAGTGCCTATAGGATTTTCCAAACAGCAGATAGATTGTAATGGTCATAAAATAGTACCTTGCGATACATTACAAATTATATATTCTTTGTTACCGGAGCATATATTAATTTTTACCATCTATTAGATATTAGTTACATAACTTTTCAATAATTGACATGGTAGTCCTGGGATTCTATAACATTCTAGTTTCCTTAATACGTTATAATTAATTGTATTAAACGCTTTGGCCTAATCAAGGAAAGATGCTGTAATTTTCTGGATATTATATATTCCATTTACCATTAAATGTTTGACGTGAGTCAATGCGTCTTCTGTGCCTATGTTATTTCTAAATTCAAGTTAGAATATATTTTATTTTATTTAGATTTGTTTAATCTGATATGAATTCTTTTTTCGAAAATGTTTTGCAATATTTGATACTATTAATACATGTCTATAATTAATTGAAATGTTGTTCACATCTCCCGCTTCATGTTCGATATTTTTAATAATTTATTATGTTTCACCACTGTCTGTATAATTTAAATAGAAAATGTTCTGTGTTTTTTGAAAGTGGAAATTTAAATTATGATTCAAAAATACCGGTTTTTTTGCTGCAAGTTTGTTCTCGACGGTACTAAAATATTTATTGAAGATATAAGCCATCTTCTTCTTATTGGTAATTACTTTATCGCCAATTTTTATTGATTCTATACCAGTTATGTGTTCTTTTGACCGGATTAGTTCATTACTTATAAAATTCTAATGACTTACTATCATTTCCTGTTCTATCAAAGATTTATTGTTGTTCTAATAATTTCGTTTATTTTCATTATAACGTTTAATCTTTCTTCGTACATTTTTATTATTGTTAATAATTCAGATTATGCGGTTCATATTTTCAGATTTCATGTAGCATGTGTTTGTTACAAGATACCATGATTCCTAAATTTATCTCTTTTTTTCTCGGGTGCTTAAGTTTTGGATTGTTAATTTATTTGTTAACATATTGAATTTTATTTTAAAAAGAATGTGGTTTGGTAAATCGTCTTATATTTATGGAAACTGTTCAGTACTATGAGAGTTTTCATTTGCGCTTTTAAACTATTTTGTTGAAGGCTATTTGTACGACAAAATATCTGTTATTGGGTAGAACGTATTCGTTCGAGTAAATTTGTGAATGCACTCTAGAAGTAGTAATTGATTGCATTGTACGTGCATTGATCACGAAAACCGCAATTTATAAATTTAATATGCTTTCAGAATAGATTTCTTGTAAAACAACCACCCAAATTTATTTATTTTCAATCTTGAAAACTATAAACAAAGTGTCATATGGTACTTAAAAACGTCTCTCATGAGGTTGTTATGACATCCCGGATGAAATTTCTATAATAATACAGATGGAGATGTACATTAATTTGATGCAGACGTTGATACCATACAGGGTAACCCAAGAGAGACGGATAGCATCCTCTGTTTATGCCGACCACTTGATTCCTTTTACTGAGAGTCGGAGCTCCACTGTCACCCTGAACAAAAAATTACTGTAAATTACCTCTCGAACAATATAGTTTACTGGATGTTGGGAAAGCAGTCTGTTACACAAGTTAATACGACGGATGGCGTTGCAACACTGCAGAAATGATTTTCCAATGGAGTCATATTTTTGCGTACCAAAACACTGGCTCTCTTACCACATTCTTCGTTATTTAGAACTGTCAACACTGCCGTTCTCAAAACGAATGGTGACACGTCCTCTGGAGAATAGCCCCAACCGGCAATTCTAACGGTTGAACCGTACAAATCTGTTGGTGCGAATGTCAATATCTTAGCTAAATGACTTTCGTGACAATCGACTCCCTTGCCTGCTAGCTAAAAAATTATAACATTAATTTTCCCACAATTGTTAAAACCACTTGTATTTTCATTAATCGCCAAAGACTCCTTGCTACCGTCAAAACCATGATATCATTTTCTAACAGGTCTTTCAGTCCTGACTTTTTTTTTTTCCAGTTGTCATACGTTATCCCAGATTCCAGGGAGTACTTGTCACCAAGTCTGACGTCCGTCGAGCCAGCAATAACTTCGGTGTTATTCAGCAATATTTTTGCGAAGCAATGTGCAGCAGTCAAAACATTTCTCCTGCTTATGAGCGTTCCAGTGCAAAAGTGACGATTGACGAAATGGGTATCATTGCTTTGGGCTCTTCTTGCGATCGACACGACAAACGGAAGCTCATTTGGTCGAGCATCTCTCACCTTAGTCCCTATTAATGGGATTTCGTGTGACAAGCCGATTAACATGCCTAAATTTATTAACAAACAACGTACTACATGGTAAATTTAGATAAATTAATTAATTCTAACTTAATACAAATTATATTAATTCTATACCATATGTTAAATATCGAAAAAGAACAAGCATCTTCTGTGGCATCCTACTATTAAAAGAGATACAAGTTAACTGTTCAAGAGTCACGACGTAACTAATGTTAAATGTGAAACAAAATGATCGATTCTTCACGACAATTCGTCACGATCGCGTAACATACCGCTATAATTACTGCAATGACATTCGTTAAGTTCGTCAAAGTCCAGGAAAATATAATCGATCGCTCATCGTATATTATTTTATCGACTAGTCGTATATTATTAGTAAATCAAGACTTAATTATACACAATTTTCCAAATTTATAAAAAAAGAATAAGGTTCCTGAAAATATTTCATGCGTACAAATAAAAAATTAAGTATTCAAAATATTTCTGAGGAGCATATTTTGAATTACTTTATGAATCTTCTGTTACGATACAAATATAAGTGTGTAATCAGTTGATTCTCATTTCTGAATTCCTGAGGATCCTCCTCGTGGTTTGAATGGATATTTGCCCTTACTTAATATCAACCTGTTTATTTATTTTACAGAACATTACAGTGCCAACGTAATGTTTGTAAAAATGTAATGAGAAGATTTCTTAAATACATGGAATCGTCGGAGTACTGGTGGACAGCTGGTATAATAAAATTCCCACCTATCGTCTTGGTAGTTCCTGTGTTACATTCTTCATTTGAGATTACTACGAGTACTGCCTTTTCCAACTCTCTCAATCTTCACGTTTTCTATCATTGTATTTCAATTTTCAGAAGCACTATTAATATACTAACCAAACGCTATATAAACCATTTTCATTGTGCTAAACGATAATTTATTTCACTACCTATATATTGGTATTTTTTGATTCGTTCATAGCTTCTTCTGTTTCCAGCCATGTTTCTTGTTTACTACTACTGCGTTGATCGTGCATGATATTTTTCTTCAGGAAGTGCCTATAGGATTTTCCAAACAGCAGATAGATTGTAATGGTCATAAAATAGTACCTTGCGATACATTACAAATTATATATTCTTTGTTACCGGAGCATATATTAATTTTTACCATCTGTTAGATATTAGTTACATAACTTTTCAACAATTGACATGGTAGTCCTGGGATTCTATAACATTCTAGTTTCCTTAATACGTTATAATTAATTGTATTAAACGCTTTGGCCTAATCAAGGAAAGATGCTGTAATTTTCTGGATATTATATATTCCATTTACCATTAAATGTTTGACGTGAGTCAATGCGTCTTCTGTGCCTATGTTATTTCTAAATTCAAGTTAGAATATATTTTATTTTATTTAGATTTGTTTAATCTGATATGAATTCTTTTTTCGAAAATGTTTTGCAATATTTGATACTATTAATACATGTCTATAATTAATTGAAATGTTGTTCACATCTCCCGCTTCATGTTCGATATTTTTAATAATTTATTATGTTTCACCACTGTCTGTATAATTTAAATAGAAAATGTTCTGTGTTTTTTGAAAGTGGAAATTTAAATTATGATTCAAAAATACCGGTTTTTTTGCTGCAAGTTTGTTCTCGACGGTACTAAAATATTTATTGAAGATATAAGCCATCTTCTTCTTATTGGTAATTACTTTATCGCCAATTTTTATTGATTCTATACCAGTTATGTGTTCTTTTGACCGGATTAGTTCATTACTTATAAAATTCTAATGACTTACTATCATTTCCTGTTCTATCAAAGATTTATTGTTGTTCTAATAATTTCGTTTATTTTCATTATAACGTTTAATCTTTCTTCGTTTATTTTTATTATTGTTAATAATTCAGATTATGCGGTTCATATTTTCAGATTTCATGTAGCATGTGTTTGTTACAAGATACCATGATTCCTAAATTTATCTCTTTTTTTCTCGGGTGCTTAAGTTTTGGATTGTTAATTTATTTGTTAACATATTGAATGTTATTTTAAAAAGAATGTGTTTTGGTAAATCGTCTTATATTTATGGAAACTGTCTAGTACTATGAGAGTTTTCATTTGCGCTTTTAAACTATTTTGTTGAAGGCTATTTGTACGACAAAATATCTGTTATTGGGTAGAACGTATCCGTTCGAGTAAATTTGTGAATGCACTCTAGAAGTAGTAATTGATTGCATTGTACGTGCAATGATCACGAAAACCGCAATTTATAAATTTAATACGCTTTCAGAATAGATTTCTTGTAAAACAACCACCCAAGTTTATTTATTTTCAATCTTGAAAACTATAAACAAAGTGTCATATGGTATTTAAAAACGTCTCTCATGAGGTTATTAAGACATCCCGGATGAAATTTCTATAATAATACAGATGGAGATGTACATTAATTTGATGCAGACGTTGATACCATACAGGGTAACCCAAGAGAGCCGGACAGCTTCCTATGTTTATGCCTACTAGTTGATTCTGTTTATTGAGAATCGGAGCTCCACTGTCACCCTGAACAAAAAATTACTATTAGATTACCTATCGAACTACGTAGTTCACTAACTGTTGGGAGAGCAGTCTGTTACACAGCTTGATACGACGGAGGGCGTTGCAAAACTGCAGAAAAAATTTTCCAATGGAGTCATATTTTTGCGTGCCAAATTACTGGTTCTATTACCACATTCCTCGTTACTTAGAACTGTCAACACTGCCGTTGTCAAAACAAATGGTAGCACGTCATCTAGAGAATCGCCCCACCCGGCAATTCTAACGGTTGAACCGTATAAATCTGTTGGTGCGAATGTCAATATCTTAGCTATATGACCTTCGGGACAGTCGACTCCCTTACCTGCTAACTAAAAAATTATAACATTAATTTTACCACAATTGTTAAAACCACTTGTATTTTCATTAATCGACAAAGACTCTTTGCTACCGTCAAAACCATGATATCATTTACGAACAGGTCTTTCAGCTCTGTTTTATTTTTTTTCCAGTTGTCATACGTTATCCCAGATTCTAGGGAGTACTTGTGACCAAGTCTAACGTCCGCCGAGCCAGCAATAACTTCCGTGTTATTCAGCAATTTTTTTGCGAAGCAATGTGCAGCAGTCAAAACATTTCTCCTGCTTATGAGCGTTCCAGTGCAAAAGTGACGATTGACGAAATGGGTGTCATTGCTTTGGGCTCTTCTTGCGATCGACACGACAAACGGAAGCTCATTTGGTCGAACATCTCTCACCTTAGTGCCTATTAATGGGGTTTCGTGTGACAAGCCGATTAACATGCCTAAATTTATTAAACAACAACGTACTACATGGTAAATTTAGATAAATTAATGAATTCTAACTTAATACAAATTATACTGATTTTATACCATATGTTAAACATCGAAAAAGAACAAGCATCTTCTGTGGCATCCTACTATTAAAAGAGATACAAGTTAACTGTTCAAGAGTCACGACGTAACTAATGTTAAATGTGAAACAAAATGATCGATTCTTCACGACAATTCGTCACGATCGCGTAACTTACCGCTATAATTATTGCAATGACATTCGATAAGTTCGTCAAAGTCAAGGAAAATGTAGTCAGTCTCACCATACCTCATTTTATCGACCATTAGGTGTATCACTTGTATAACAAGCCGCAATTATACACATTTTCCAAATTTTACGAAAAAAAGAGTAAGCGTTCAAAAAACGATTGTTATGGGCATATTTTGGTTTGTTTGATGAATTTTCTGTAATGATACAAATATAAGTGTCTAGTCAGTTGTATGTAGTTTTTGAATTCCTGACAATACTCCTCGAGATTTGGATGGATCCTTGTTGATTTCTTTTACGGATTTCTGGAGCGTCCCAGTCACTATGCAAAAATATATTTAAACTATCGAGTTGCACTTGGATACAGGGAATTGTATTTGGTAGTTTTATTCAATAGTACTGTGGGCACTGTCGTTTCCAAAATCCGACAGCTTTGTACCATCTTGATATACGCCCCAACCAGCAATTCTAATAATTAGTTATTTTTAAATCTTTAAGATCAATCGCGAATACAGCAGCCGGATGGATTTTTAGATCCTTTGTGTTCCAACTAAAAATGTGTGTAATAACTACAAAACTCCTTTCACTTCAGAATGTTAATGCCTATCGTTATCATGTAAGAATATAGTAGCGAGTATAATTAGCCGACACGTAGTTCTATGTGTTGTACGTCATTTACACTTCTGGGTAATATTTCCGTACCAAAGCCACATTCGCGTAACCAGCAATATAATTTTAACTTCGCTCATTCTTTGATTTCTCAGACGGTGTGCAGCGGTCAGAACACTTTTCCTGCTTACAAGCGTGCCAGTGCGGAAGTGGAGATTCTCAATGTTAGCGTCATAGTTAGGAGCTCTTTTCGCGGTCGACGCGATCAAAAGAAATCCATCTGGTGTGGCGCGTCTCTTACGTTTTTTCCTATTACGGGAATTCCATGTGCACATGGAATTCCATGAAAGATCGCTTAACGTGCCTGAATTTCATTTTGCATTGGTTACGCATGCCTAGTTAATTTTTAGATAACAAATTTTTCATGCAGTTTGTATCACAATTAACGTTAACAATTAAAGAAATATGTTGCTGTTTCGCTACACTTTGTCAAATTAACTGTTAACTCATGCTATAGCTGATGTCAACTACGAACTCAATTGATTTATCGGAGCAATAGGCTTTCCTCAGCGCAATATCCATAGGGGAGTGATACTCTGTAACAACTGATCGAAGTAGCAAAATGTGCTTCTGTTATTTTCTTCGGAGACCCCAAAATCATGTAGATATATCATAAGTGCAACGTGAACGTTTTATGCATTTACACACGGCACGTAGATTTTGTAATTCAAGCCTCTCCCATACTTACCTCAAAGTGAATCTCATCGCACACGTGCGAAACTCTCTTGGTCATTTCCAGTAAAAGAAAAAAACGAAAAAAAAGAAAAAAAACGAAAAAAGAAGAATCCTCTAGCCCCTTTTTCCCAGCAAACGAGGCACCTGAACTGCCCGAAAAGAAGAGAGCGAGAGAAAGATAACTCTTTCGGAGCGCGGCACGCTCATCTCGTCCGAAAAATCTGCAACAGCTGGCCGTGCGTGCGCGAGCGCGTGCGTGTCAGAGACAAACTACCCGAACCCTCGTCAGAGCGCGCAGCGCGCGCGGCTCTCGAGCGAACGCCCCGGAATGTCTTAATGGCCTCGAATAATTTAATTGCTCGCGTACCGCTGCGGGAGTGTTCATTGGACGCGCGCGCGCTCGTTGCAGCGGTATTGTCGGCGGCGCGGTTCACGACGACGGCCAACGCCGGGCCGCCTTCCATCTCCACTCGACGCGCGAGCGAGATCGCCCGCCGCGATCTTGCGGAACCGCCACGCGTGCTCTTGTCTGCCCCTCGTGTGACAAACTCGTGGCGTTCGCGTCCCTTCTGCGCAGCCTCGCCCGACGGGGCGCGAGCTTTTGCGTGGCCGTGCACGAGAGGCGCGGAAGCGCGAGCCAGAAAAAGAAGCCGAGAGAGAGAGAGAGGCTAAAGGGACGCAGGTCCAGTGGAGTAGCGGCAACATCCCTCCGTGGTGCTTTGAGGTTCGGTCTATGCAGATACGTCGCGTAGATACGTTTCAGTCAGCCTGTCCCCTTCAGCCCGATAGAGCTGCGATATCATTGAAGGACCGCGCCTGGGCTAATTCCATTCAGAACCGGCCAACGGGTTTTCGCTTAATTATTTACCAGAGAGAGAGAGAGAGAGAGAGAGAGAGAGAGGGAGAAGCCGAGCGAGGTAGAGAGATTGCCATCGCTACTCCCAGAAATTAACGAGATGACGTTTCTATCGGCGGAATATACGCTCGGAAAACAATGCGCGGACATGAAAGTGTGATGCCTCCAGGCTCAATGCCTATCCTTTTATTGCGATAGCGCGAGCTGCCCGATCGATGCCTTCGCTTTGCCTTCCAATGCAGCGCTTTTGCCCTCGACCAGAGCTGTAATTTCATTGACGAAGGAGGTGCACGCGTTGTTGGCCAATGCTGCGCGCTTTGAGAAATCTTGTCGAGCCATTGCGAAAGCTCGCGTCGGCGAAAAAGGAAAGGGAAAAGAAGAAGAAAAAAAAGCAATCGTTGCATTTCAATAGCGCGCGTGCGGGACTCGTAACTCGAGGCGATAAGCAGATTAATCGAACGTCGTCGGAGCATGCACCACTGAATCTAAAACATATTTGGGGCTCAAACGAAGCGGAAGCTCGCAAGCCGTTTAGCCAAGCGTGAGGTTTCGGCTGGGGGATGAGAGAGACTTTGCCCCCTTCTTCTGAGTACGCCGCAGTTATTTATACCGTGTGTATGCGCCTGGTTATTATACGGGGGTGTGCTGTGTATACGTCGATCGATGCTCTCGCGGTCCAACGCCCAATCTACCCGACCCCTCCCCGTTTGCGCGAGCGAGCACGGATATTATATTGAATTAACGCCGATATGACCGCTATGAAGGAGGTTCGCTTTCTCTCTCTCTCTCTCCCTCTCTCTCTCTCTTAGAGTGATACGACGTGATTTTGAAAATTGATTTCGGGTCAGTGGGCTTCGGGGCAATGGAATAAACGATTATCTCTGCCCGTCGCTTCGCGATACATCACGTCCGCAGCGCGCTGGTGCTCGAGCGTCGAAAAATCTCGGTCACACTCTCCACCCGCTGCTTTTATTTCACTTTCCCTCGCATTCAACGAGCGAAGACGCCAGAGGACGGAAGCAGCGGACCGAGTGCGCCGCTGTGCCGAGGACATTTGTCATCGCGTTTCGGTTGCGTGCTTGATGCCAAGTATACGTTACTCCTAGAGGCTCGCTGACATTTATATTCAATACAAGTGCGCTATCAATGGTATCGCATTTATTGGCCGCTACGATACCTTTTACATTTAAAAAGCAATTTGAGTTCTGTAGTAGAGATCCGAGTTGTATAGCGATGGCGCGCGCATCCAGCGCCGATATTAAACGAGCCAATTTTCGAAATAGCACTGCCCATTAAAAAACAATTTCGCGCGAAATCTTCTGGCTGGGGAAACGCATCTCCATACGCGCGACAGACGCAGCAGCGCCGCCTCGTATACGCGTGCGAAACATCCCCCTTGCGCGCGGACCAAAGAAAGCTCGCGGTGGCAATAAAGCATCCCCCTGAGCGCGCGCGCCTTGGAAATTCCTCGGAGAGACGTCATATAAAGCGGCTCCTCGGCTGTATATAATAACTCGCGCGCGTGCCGATAAGTCTCTTATCGCTATTACGAGGTATTGTTGGGCTCTGATGCATCGCCTCGTAAATATCGTGTCTCTCTCTCTCTCTCTCTCTCTCTCTCTCTCTTTCTCGTTTCTTCCTCATTTTTTTTTACTTTGCACGAAAAAAGAGAAAAGAAAAGGGGGGAAAAAAATGGAAAAAGGTCATCGTCGATCGTGACAAATGCGATCGCACTCCTCCCTCGCCACGAGGTAATTGCATGGGGCCACCAGGCTGCTCGGGCTTATTATTATTATTAATATCTCGCGCGCGAGTACAATGCAGCTCGAGGCGATCGAAGGGGGTGGAGTCGCAGAGCAGGAGGTGGAGAGCTTATTTGCATGCAACGATTTTTCGCCTCGTTTTCGGACGAGAATTCCGAGTATTCTGTCTCGCCGGCAGATCGAGCTCGCTGGATTGTTGCTTTCTTGCGGCGCTGCTGCCGCCGAGATATCACTGCCTTGATTAATATCCCCGGGAGCGCGGAGGCCCCGACGCGCGGCGTCGCTCGCCAATTTATTGCGATCATTCGTTTCTCTACGTCGATTGCGCTTCTCTCCTTCGTTTTTTTCCTTTTTTTTCTCTCTCTTTTATTATCATTTCTTATCGAGGCTTCGTTGCGGCAACGACGGAAGAGGTAGCTTCGACGAAGCGTCGTCGTCGCAAGAATCGTAAAAGACTCGGAGGGCGAGATCGCGTCCAACCAGCTCGTTGCAAGAAGCCGTAGCAAGCGAGCGAAGACAGGCGAGAGAAAGCATCGCGCGCTAAAAAAGAAAAGTGTGAAAACAATTAAGCCAAGCCCGGGCGTACGCATAAGGACCGCGATAAAAAAAAAGGATCGGCAGAGGAACCCTTTTCTCCTTTCGAGAGAGCATTAAATCGAGAGCAGCACGGGTCAGGCCTTATAATACAATTCGCTCGGGCGCAGCGATAGCATTAATTCAGCGCTCCTCTCTCTCTCTCTCTCTCTCTCTCTCTCTCGGAAGGTGCTGCGCGCACAAAAAGGAATCTCCTCTTTCTCGCGGATTGTGTTTCGTTCGCCTGTGTCTGTGTGTGTACGTGCTACGGGCAAGGCCTTTCACGCAACGAGGTCAAAGCGAAGAGAGCACCCATTGTTGCGCGTTTTCTAAAGGCGCGCGCGAGTCCGCGTCTCTGTGACTTTGGTATACGTACGCGCGCGTAGAAAAATATTCACGTGTGCGCGCGGGGAACGCGCTGCTTTTATCTTTTCCCTCGATAT